ATATATATATATATATATATATATATATATATATATATATATATATATATATATATATATATATATATATATATATATATATATATATATATATATATATATATATATATATATATATATATATATATATATATATATATATATTGGAACGAGGTTTTCTTTGATGCAAATATCGTTAAATATTTTTGCCCATTTTGCATTAATGCATTAATTAATTTTTTAATAAGGATTTCGGCAACACGAAGCTGTTTTAATTCATATTTATTATCATTATGTGTCATCCTAGGCTTACAACGTTGTTTCGACATACAGTCATCATCAGAGCCTGGTTTTACGAAATATCAAAAATTGAATTATAATTTAAACATTAAAATCAAGAAATTTAATGAAAAGTACAAGAAATGAAATTATGACGTTGTAATTAGAAAATTAGAAATATGAAAATGTAAAATATGAGAAAATGTTACCTTGTATTAATATAATATTGTAATAATAAATAAACAGTTTCAAACGAATGAAATTAAAACAAAATTATGAAAATAAGTAAATAAAATTGTGTAAAAACATATAATAAAACAATTCAGTTAGACGAGAAAAACAAGTGTTTCGTGGCGGGATGATATTAAAAGTGAAAGTCAGTAAGACGATATAAAAAAGGTGAATGTAGAAATTAAAGTTTATTATTATAATTAACAAATAATGTAGATAAAGAAAAAATAAAATTTGAAACAAAATAAAATGACGTTATTAAAATAAGTATTATAGAAATATAAGTAATAAAATATAAATATAAAAAATATCATAAAATAAAAATAATTTAGCAGTTATTGAATAAGGTAGCAAGTGACGAGATGACCATGGATTTCGGACGTGACGTTAATAACTGTGTATTAACTGGTCGAAAATTGTCAGACTTAGAGCGATATTCGTATCGTTTGGGTACTGAAACGTCTGCTGGCTTGTTTTCGACTGCAATTGTTGGTATCAGTTCACGATATTGAGAAAATAATTGAAGAGTATGATCGAAACTATTGTATTGTTTAATGTTGGTTTGTATTTGTTGATGTACAGGGCTTCGCGAATTTTCTCATTTTTACATATTTTACATTTTCATATTTCTAATTTTCTAATTACAACGTCATAATTTCATTTCTTTTACTTTTCATTAAATTTTTTGATTTTAATGTTTAAATTATAATTCAATTTTTGATATTTCGTAAAACCAGGCTCTGATGATGACTGTATGTCGAAACAACGTTGCAAGCCTAGGATGACGCATAATGATAATAAATATGAATTAAAACAGCTTCGTGTTGCCGAAATCCTTATTAAAAAATTAATTAATGCAAAATGGACAAAAATATTTAACGATATTTGCATATATATATATATATATATATATATATATATATATATATATATATATATATATATATACATATATACACTATTTACTACAACA